AAGTGGGCGTGGCCAAACTGCTCCACATCGCCCCCTAACGTGAGATATGACAACTGGTAAGTCCTAGAGAGCTGAAATTTGGTACACATGTACAACCCACTGAATCAAGAAAAAAAAGTATCTTGGAGGTATGCCTTAAACCAAACAGGAAGTCGGCCATTTTGGGTCAAAGGGTCAATTTTGGCCGTTTTTCACTTTTCGTACACGGCAAATTTGAACGAACTCCTCCTAGGGACTTCGCTCAATCGGTTTCAAACTTTCGCCATTTTGCTCAGTAGGCATGGGGGACCTAAAGTTATCAAAATGGTGCAAACCGACGTATGTTGAGGGGGCGGGGCCGGACCTCAAAATTATGCTTCACGCCAAAAATTTCCAAACGCTACAACTTTCACGTTGAAAAACAGAATTGTACCAAATTTGGCACGAGTCATCCCTGTTCCATGCCCGACGATACCCTGAGGTCAAATTTTGACGTCATCAAAGCCCCGCCCCCTCAGAACAGGAAGTGACTTTTTTTGCTTGGAATGCTCCCTCCCTGAGACTCTTGACCCAATCAGGATGATCCTGTGTTAGAAGGCAGATAACAAGTTGGTCTGACTTGCTTTGAAGCGCAAAGCGTTTCCCCTGGAGGATGTGGGCGTGGCGGCGTGGCGAAGTCAGAAGTGACGCCGTTACAATACGTTTGGCTCTAAATTCCACAGATTTTATCCGAGGTTCATGAAAATCACTATGATCGATCATTGCCCGCCCCTTGAACAGGAAACCATGATAATTGCGCAATAGCCTCTCTAGCGCCCCCTAGAATATTTTAAAACGTCAGCCCCAAGCCATTTTTCGACCGATAATTCTGAAACTCGGTGAACATGTGTATCTTCTCAGGACCTATGAAAAAGTCTCTTGGAGCTCCGGTCCAAAACCAACAGGAAGTCGGCCATTTTGGGTCAAAGGTTAATTTTTGGGCGTTTTTAACGGCGAATTTTAACGAACTCCTCCTAGGGATTTTGAAGGATTGCCTTCAAACTTGGTTAATAGGCCTTTAAGACATTGGAGAGTAAAAGTTATCAAAAGCTTTCGGATTCATTTTGTTAAAGGGGCGTGGCCAGGCCTCAAAGTTGAGCTTCACGCCATAAATTTCCAAACGTTATAACTTTCAACTTGAAAAACAGATTTGCACCAAATTTGGCACGAGTCATCCCTGTCCCATGCCCGACGATACCCTGAGGTCATATTGTGACGTCATCAAAGCCCCGCCCCCTCACAACAGGAACTGACTTTTTTTAATTGGAATGGTCCTTCTTTGACACCCTTAACCTAATCAGGATGATCCTGTGTTAGAAGACAGATAACAAGATGGTCTGACTTGATTTAAACTACAAACAGTTATAGCTGGAGGATGTGGGCGTGGCGCCATGGCGAATTAAAAAGTGACGCCGTTGCAATACGTTTGGCTCTAAATTGCACAGATTTGAGCCCAGATGAACCAAAATCACTATGATTGATCATTATCCACCTTTGAACAGGGTTCCATGATAAGTGGCCAAGAGCCTCCACAGCGCCACCTACATTCTTCTTACAGTTATATCTCAGTGATACAAAATCCGATCTGAACCAGATTTTGGGTGCGTCATTACTGAGAGCTGATGGACATTTTAGTTTTGTTGTTTAATATTTGACTCAAGGGCGCCCCCTACAATATTCAAACTGTTTTGTCTCAGTGATATATCAGCCGATCTGCACCAAATTTATGGTGTATTATTATTTAGTTCTGGTAGACACAGTAGTAATGTTTTTTAAATTTTGACTCTAGAGCGCCCCCTATAATATTCTAACACTTGTATCTCAATGATATATCATACGATCTGTACCAGATTTTGGGTGCATCATTAGTAAGCAGTTATGGACACATTAGTAATGTTTTTTAACTTTTGACTCTAGAGCGCCCCCTACAATATTGCAACACTTCTATCTCAATGATATATCATCCGATCTGCACCAGATTTTTGTGGCATTATGTATGACCATGTCTAGACACATTATTATTGTTGTTTAATATTTGACTCAAGTGCGCCCCCTAGATAATTCAAACTGTTATATCTCAGTGATATATCGTCCGATCTGCACCAGATTTTAGGTGCTTGACTAGTGAGGACTTATGGACACAGTTGTGAGGTTGTTTAATATTTGACTCAAGTGCGCCCCCTAGATTATTTAAACTGTTATATCTCAGTGATATATTGTCCGATCTGCACCAGATTTTGGGTGCGTCATTAGTAAGCCCTCATGGACACATTAGTAATGTTTTTTAACTTTTCACTCTAGAGCGCCCCCTATAATATTCCAACACTTGTATCTCAATGATATATCATGCGATCTGTACCAGATTTTGGTTGCATCATTAGTAAGCAGTTATGGACACATTAGTAATGTTTTTTAACTTTTGACTCTAGAGCGCCCCCTACAATATTGTAACACTTCTATCTCAATGATATATCATCCGATCTGCACCAGATTTTTGTGGCATAATGTGTGACCATGTCTAGACACATTATTATTGTTGTTTAATATTTGACTCAAGTGCGCCCCCTAGATTATTTAAACTGTTATATCTCAGTAATATATCATATGATCTGCACCAGATTTTGGGTGCGTCATTAGTAAGCCCTCATGGACACATTACGATACCCTGAGGTCATATTGTGACGTCATCAAAGCCCCGCCCCCTAACAACAGGAAGTGACTTTTTTTAATTGGAATGGTCCTTCTTTGACACCCTTAACCTAATCAGGATGATCCTGTGTTAGAAGACAGATAACAAGATGGTCTGACTTGATTTAAACTACAAACAGTTATAGCTGCAGGATGTGGGCGTGGCGCCATGGCAAATTAAAAAGTGACGCCGTTGCAATACGTTTGGCTCTAACTTGCACAGATTTGAGCCCAGATGAACCAAAATCACTATGATTGATCATTATCCACCTTTGAACAGGGTTCCATGATAAGTGGCCAAGAGCCTCCACAGCGCCACCTACATTCTTCTTACAGTTATATGTCAGTGATACAAAATCCGATCTCAACCAGATTTTGGGTGCGTCATTACTGAGAGCTGATGGACATTTTAGTTTTGTTGTTTAATATTTGACTCAAGGGCGCCCCTACAATATTCAAACTGTTTTGTCTCAGTGATATATCAGCCGATCTGCACCAAATTTATGGTGTATTATTATTTAGTCCTGGTGGACACAGTAGTAATGTTTTTTAAATTTTGACTCTAGAGCGCCCCCTATAATATTCCAACACTTGTATCTCAATGATATATCATACGATCTGCACCAGATTTTGGGTGCATCATTAGTAAGCAGTTATGGACACATTAGTAATGTTTTTTTTACTTTTGACTCTAGAGCGCCCCCTACAATATTGCAACACTTGTATCTCAATGATATATCATCCAATCTGCACCAGATTTTTGTGGCATAATGTGTGACCATGTCTAGACATATTGTTATTGTTGTTTAATATTTGACTCAAGTGCGCCCCCTAGATAATTCAAACTGTTATATCTCAGTGATATATTGTCCGATCTGTATCAGATTTTTGGTGCTTGACTAGTCAGGACTTATGGACACAGTGGTATTGTTGTTTAATATTTGACTCAAGTGCGCCCCCTAGATAAATCAAACTGTTATATCTCAGTGATATATTGTCCGATCTGCACAATATTTTTGGTGCTTGACTAGTGAGGACTTATGGACACAGTGGTGTTGTTGTTTAATATTTGACTCAAGTGCGCCCCCTACATTATTACAAAAGTTATATATGCGGTCGCAGCTTATGTCAAAGGTTCGGCGAATGCGCACTAAAGAGAACGGGCGCGTGACAGTAGCGTGAGCGTTCTCGATGGCGACCGGGAAGAGTCGCTGGAGTTCCCGCGGTCGCCGTAAGGCTGCAGCGGCGCTTCGCTGCGAGGGCCTTCAACGCTGATTGCAGCTTTAATTATTCATTATACCTCTTCTGCTTTTTAGTTAAAAAACACACACATAGTAAACACATAAAGATATTTACATCCACCAAAACCAAATTTGACTAAATGAAGGGAATAAAGTGTCTTTTTAACGTCTATCTGGATGAAAATTAGACTTTTCTTGTTTCACTGAGGAAGAACTGGTGACAAAAACAGATAAGAAGAAAAGAGGTGTAAAGTGTTTCTCAGAGAACTTTGTCTCGCCTTTTTTTTAATCGATTTTCTGTTTTTTCTATTTCATTTATTCTTGAAACTTTTTTGAATGTTTTCTCCTTTGTAACATAAGTTAAGTGTGTCGGCCAGGTTAAGCCGCTGTTAAAAATGAACAGAGAAAATAATCCAATAATTTAATTTACACTCTAAATCTGCTGCTTCTGAAAGTAACACTAAACGTCAGATTCAGTCTGACCCCACATTTAGATCAGGACTCTTCTGCTCTTCTTCTTCATTCTTTTTCTATTGAATTTGAAAGTAAAATACAATTAATTTAATTTATATATAGCATTTAAAACAACAATATAACTCAGTATTATTGTTGATAATAGAGAACAGAAATAGAGTTCTGAAACAGCTAGCTTTGCACATATTCCCTTTTAGCCCCCACCCCTGACCTGCAGCTTAGCTTCTCGTTATGAAACTTCCACAGCTCTCAGAGATATCTGATGGTGGCTTTTCCATCAGAGTCTCTGCAGTTCAAAGCTGAAACGTCTGTTTTGCCGAGTCCTCTTTGACATTGACCAGATCACTTCACCTCAGCTCTGCCCATGTAGCCATAGAAGTCTGCAGACTGGATCTCCAGATGGCTTTGCACCATCACAAGAGCCACACTTCAAACTAACAACCTTGAGTTTTAACCAGGAAAAGACGGAGCTTACACAGCTGGCTGATGGAGATCCTAGATCGGTTCTTGGGGGTGCTCCGAAGACAGAAAGAGAGAGAGAGAGGGGGAGAGAGACAGTGGGGTTGTGTTTCTCCTTAATCACACAGACAGGAAGTGGATTAGCAGGAGGGAGGACCCCCCCCCCCCCCCCCCCCGGGTCTCAGGGGGCTCTTTTCGGGGCCCGGGGGGGGGCCTGGGTGAGGGGCAGGAGCCCTGGCTGTCAAAGCTGGCTGTTCTGGCCTTCCACTGCAGGACACACAAGCACAAGGCAGCGATTCATTCAGTAACTGCTGCAGCATTGCTCACTTCCCCCTCCTGGGCAGACATTTGTGCAAAAGGAAAACACTCCAAGAGGAGACGGAGCACTTTCAAACAGGAAGGATTAATAATAGTGACAAAATACCTGCCAGGAGCGCCTTCAAAAAACAAGCAGCATCATCAGCTTCTGCTATTTTTATCACCAGCAGATGACAACCCAATCCTTGGCTGAAGTTTCAGAAAATAATATATGCCAGGGCTATTCAAATGGCGGCCCGCGGGCCATTTCAATCCGGCCCACTTCATAAAATTTTTTTTTTTTTTTTTTTGTTCTGGGTTTGGGTTTTGGGTTCTGTTTACTGCATTTATGATTCAGTGCAATAAAATAAACAAATTTAAAAGGTAACAGATCATTGTAAACTTTGGTGTATTTGCATAATGATTTTAATCGCTGGATGTCCGGCCCTCGAGATGTTGGCTTCCAGAAACTGTGGCCTCCCGAGCAATTTTGCTGAATAGCCCTGCAGTCTTTAAACCTTTATATATGATATATACTCTTTGTTTTATTATATTTTAGAAAAAATAATACTTTTCAGCCAGTTACTTGGACACATTTCTCACAGATGTAAATAAATAAATAAACTCAGAGTACAACAATTACAACAGCAATAATAATAAAAAAATACCCATATTTAGTAAATGTAAACAAAATTTCATATCATCAGTAATTAACTTGACAACCCAAAAACATTTGAGGTTTTTCACATTCAAACATTCTGCACAGTGGTTCACTTCTCTGGACTGATGCAGCGTATTGCATCAGACCACAGGTCAGCCGGTTGGCTCTGATTGTTGTTTCACATCTGTAATTTAAGTTTCTAAAACAGAGATTCACAGCAGAAAATCCAGAAAGCTCCTCCGCTCCTAAACGTACCTCCTTCTCAGATTTTTTGGGCTCCAGCAGGGGATGCCAGTGTGCGATGGGCTTACGTGGATAAGCCAGCATTTCGTTCCAGTGGTCCCTGCCAAGCCCCTCAGCATGGGAGCCAACCCTCATCACACCGATGATCTCATTATGACCCACCCTGTGAAAAACACACATGCAGGACTGAGTACGTCTGATTTTACACATCTCATCAGTCACTTTGTCTAGAGGTGTGTGAAGAACTGTGTGCTGTCAAAGGAAACACAAATCTAAATGAGGATGTTGTGCATCAATGTGCAGCTGAGGTCTCAACACTTGAACCAAATCCCTTCACAAAGACATCAAAGCTGATCTTTGTCCCCAATAGTTTAGTGACATGGAAGGGGATTTTTATCTTTCCCCAAACCCCCAGATTATGAGGACAACGTGATTAGTTTTTGTATCATGACAAACTGGAAAGGAAACACGAGGTTAAGCATCTAATCCTTTAAATTTCCCCTTTTTATGCTACATAATACAAAAAAATCAAGAGTCTGATCTTTAAGCCGCCAGTATACTCCCGCGTACGTACATGTGAACGGACGCACGCGTGTACTGTATGCAGAGGGTTCAGACTTCATGCTCAAGAGTCCACCCTGAGCAGCTGCAGAGCAGCTTCACACACAAGGGGCGTTTACCTTCAGGACAAATTGAGTTTGCTGGTTGGTCATTTGCTGACACGCCTACTGGATTGATTGACAGGTCGTGAAAAAACAGGGAACATGACTGAAATGGTGAGAAATGAAGGAATTTGTCACACTCAGGTCCAGCATGGCTGCGAGAGGGTCTGGAGATTTCCTGGTAGGCTGGTCTGATGTGTGGGCTGCAGAGCCAGCGCTCCCTGTTTTTTGTTTAAATTTTTTAGATCTTTTTATTAAAAACATATAAACACAGAACACCGCTGTGGCTGAGGCTGAGAGCGCTCGTTTTTTTGCTCTTTTTTCCGACCTGTCAATCAATCCAGTAGGAGTGTCAGCAAATGACCAATCGGCGACCTCAATTTGTCCCAAAAGTAAACGCCCCTTGTCTGTGAAGCTGCTCTGTAGCTGCTCAGGGTGTACGCTTGAGTATGAAGTCTGAACCCTCTGCGTACAGTAAATGCATACGTACGCGTGAACAGACATACGCAGGAGTATAGTGGGGGCTTAAAAATTTGTACCTCGGCGTATGTACGTGCGTACCTCTGCGTCTGGACGTACGCGGGAGTATACTGGGGGCTTTACTCTGAGCGCTCTCATTGTGTCAGCGGTCTGCACAACAATGCTTTCACTATCCTCGAATAGAGTGCACCAATCTTTCAGTTCAGTTATTATTAATTCAGTGTTTTTCAACAATAATAGAATTCAAACAAATTATAATACAGTCCTACAGTTGCTCCTTCTTATCCCAAATCCAACATTCATTATATTTTTTGCCCCAAACTTCTCCTGTAATCTCATGTAATTACTTTTATATGACCACAGTTTCAACTGTTGGACTAAATTATGCTGTTTGTTCAACTTCTATTACAATTTAAGTCAAGTGTACAAAGCAGACTTCTGTTCTCTGACAAAAGCCAATACAGAAAACAACTCTCCTTTGATCCAGTGCTCATTTAAAATACAAACGTTGTTTACTTATTATGTAAAAAAATAAAAAATAAAAAAAACGAAATTTTCTGCTTTGCTTGCATTTTTAGTCCAAAAACATTAAAACACTGAGGAGCTAAAAAAAAATGCTCCCAAAGTTGAGATATTTTGTCCCTGTGTGGAAGTTATTGAAAATGACAATGCAGCAGCTGGTTTAACATTTGTGTCCTACAACCACAACAATAAAATGTTTTCATCAGATTTTCTATACCTCCTAATTTATGCTGATCTGTTCACCAAACTTTATTCTTTTGTAAAAAGAATATTGGTGGAAAAAAGAGGCATGTTTTTTGGGAACACATCTTTTTTGAATTTGTGATTGATGGAGAGGTTCAGGATGCTTAGAGCAGCTTCTGTGTTTATATATATATATATATATATATATATATATATATATATATATATAT